GCCAAATAGCAAAATCAGCTTGCCTTTAATCTATCTTTTTCTTATCTAAAACTTGGAGGTCAAGAGTGTCAACAGGTCTGAAGACACAGGGTTCTCTTCTGCTGTGACCCCATCATCCTTTGTCACTAACTGATTTCTAGAAGGAGGGTGGGCATTGCCCTCTACTCTTTCTATGGCCACTATCTGTCCTACTCCTAAAACTGAAGAGAGATGTAGGCAGGGAGAGGCTGTCCCCTCATCTCTGGTAGAAAAGGGATGTTCAGGCCATTCACCCTCCTGATGTCAGAGCTGCACTTCAGTGTAGCAGCTATTGGCCATGTGTTGCTATTGGGTGCCTGGAATGTGCCTGGTCTGAACTACAGTGTCCTAGAAAGGTGAAATATGAGTTAGTTTCAAAGATTTTGTTCCAAACACACACACACACACACACACACGTATATGTTTGCATATAATTAGTAATTACATATTTCTCACATATTAAAATGACAAGATTTTGGATATGTTGAGTTAAGTAAATTGTTATAGTCAATTTCATCTGTTCTTTGTTTCTTTTTAAAGTTTGGCTGCTAGAAAATTTAAAATTCACATGTGGCTCACATTTTATTATTTTATTTTATTTATTATTTATTTATTTATTTTTGAGACAGAATTTTGCTCTTGTTGCTCAGACTGGAGTGCAGTGGCGTGATCTCAACTCAACGTAACCTACATCTCCCAGGTTCAAGTGATTCTCCTGCTTCAGCCTCCCAAGTAGCTGAGATTACAGGCACCCACCACCATTTTTTTTTTTTTTTTAGACGGAGTTTCGCTTTTGTTACCCAGGCTGGAGTGCAATGGTATGATCTCGGCTCACCGCAACCTCTGCCTCCTGGGTTGAGGCAATTCTCCTGCCTCAGCCTCCCGAGTAGCTGGGACTACAGGCGTTCACCACCATGCCCAGCTAATTTTTGTATTTTTAGTAGAAAAGGGGTTTCACTATGTTGACCAGGATGCTCTTGATCTCAAGCTGCCTTGGCCTCCCAAAGTGCTGGGATTATAGACGTGAGCCACTGCACCCCATCCCACCACCATTTTTATAGAGATGGGAGTTTCACCATGTTGGCCAGACGGGTCTCAAATTTCTAACCTCAGGTGATCCACCCCTCTCGACCTCCCAAAGTACTGGTATTACAGGCATGAGGCACTGTGTCTGACCAGTGGCTCACATTTCATTTCAGAGGATTGCCTCCTTTTTTTTTTTTTTTCTTCAGATGGAGTCTCACTGTGTTGCCCAGGCTGGAGTGCAGTGGCGTGATCTCAGCTCACTGCAACCTCCACCTCCCGAATTCAAGCTATTCTCTTGCCTCAGCCTCCCGAGTAGCTGGGATTACATTCATGTGCCACCATGCCTGGCTAAGGATTGCCTCCTTTTTAAAATCTCAGGCTGCCTGCTCAAATGATTAGAAGCAAAAAAGGTCATAAAATTTAAAATTTTAGAACAATTGTTATTATGTTCTTTTAATTTGTGAATAGCCATATAGCATATTGTTTACAAGTGCATATGACCTTATACCCAAGGTTAAAGGCAACTACCCTCTGGAGTGGGCCTGGCTCAGCTCATTTAGGAAGCTCTGCCTGAGAAGGCTGCAGCCTAGGCTGTCACTCATTCAGCCCCAGCTCCTGGGTTTGGCAAGGCCTTTGTCTCTTGCTGCAGCTGGAGTTCCAGGTCTTGTCCTCACTGTTCTAAATCCTCTGCTCCTAGAAGCCCAGCCTCTGTGGCCCTGTGACCTGCAGGTATTTTGAGATCCACAGCTAAGATGCTAGGAACCCCTGGAAGCCTAGACATGGTGAGAGTGCCCAGTCAGACATCCCCAGAGAGGGGAAAAGGCTGGTTGGAACCAGTGGGAAGTGGCTGTGGCAGGACTCAGGCCCCCCCACAGTCAGCTCCACAGTCTGCTCCCTGAGTTCTCCTTGTCTAGCGCAGCCTCTCCCCTTCAGCCATAAGATGGCTGCGGCGCTGCCAATAGGGGTCCTGGGCGTCCTGTCTCTTCCCATCCCAGTGACTGTGCCTTGGCCTGGAGACCTCTCTGGGCAGCTTTGCATCTGCAGCACCACGTCTCTCCGAGATTGTGCAGGGACCAGGGGAAAGTCCTCGGGGGAGAATCCTGACTTGGGGTGTGGGATGATGAATGGGAAAAGCTTTGGTCCTTTGGGTTCCCAGTTTTTATGTTCTCCTATTCAAAATCTGTGGCAGTCCTCACAAAAATATTTAAGAATTTAATCAAAGAGTGATTCAATAATTGTGGTTTATGAGTGATTCAATAGTTTGTGGTTTATGAGAGAAGCTATTTGTAGTTTGGTTTATCAAAGAAGCTTGAAAGACTTATAAGGTGCATGATAAAGAAAACCGTATTTGGGCCGGGCACGGTGGCTCAAGCCTATAATCCCAGCACTTTGGGAGGCCGAGGAAGGTGGATCACGAGGTCAAGAGATTGAGACCATCCTGGTCAACATGGTGAAACCCCGTCTCTACTAAAAATACAAAAAATTAGCTGGGCATGGTGGCACGCGCCTGTAATCCCGGCTACTAGGGAGGCTGAGGCAGGAGAATTGCCTGAACCCAGGAGGCCGAGGTTGCGGTGAGCCGAGATCGTGCCATTGCACTCCACCTTGGGTAACAAGAGTAAAACTCCGTCTCAAAAAAAAAAAAGAAAACCGTACTTAACAATTGATTAGGTACAGTTACATAGCAGTTTTTATAAGTAGAAACCAGAGCCTCCTTAGTCTAATTGCCTGCCAGTTAATTATTCTCACTCTTCACAGGGGACTGATTTTCCCCTGCATTTTTTAACAAGTTTGTGTTCCCTGAAGGGTCTCAAGTGTACCTCCCACCCCCACTCCTCCCGCCTAACTCTGGCCTGCAGTTAGGTTTGAATTGCAAATAAACTAAAATACTAAATCCAGTTACTTCTGACATTTCTAAATGCCAACTTCTCTTCCCTTTTTTTTTTTGAGACGGAGTTTCGCTCTTGTTACCCAGGCTGGAGTGCAATGGCGCGATCTTGGCTCACCGCAACCTCCGCCTCCTGGGTTCAAGCAATTCTCCTGCCTCAGCCTCCCAAGTAGCTGGGATTACAGGCACACACCACCATGCCCAGCTAATTTTTTGCATTTTTTTTTTTTTTTAGTAGAGACGGGGTTTCACCTTGTTGACCAGGATGGTCTCGATCTCTTGACCTCGTGATCCACCTGCCTCGGCCTCCCAAAGTGCTGGGATTACAGGCTTGAGCCACCGCGCCCGGCCTCAATTTCTCTTTCCTAATTCACATTATCAACTATTTTTTGTTTGAAAATATTTCTCATAAGAAAAAAGCAAAAAATAATTCCTTGACACTTTTTGCACAAAGTTGCTATGCCTCTTTTTTTTTTTGAGACGGAGTTTCACTGTTGTTACCCAGACTGGAGTGCAATGGCAGGATCTCGGCTCACCACAACCTCTGCCTTCTGGGTTCAAGCAATTCTCCTGCCTCAGCCTCCCGAGTAGCTGGGACTACAGGTGCGCACCACCATGCCCAGCTAATTTTTGTATTTTTAGTAGAGACGGGGTGTCACCTCGTTGACCAGGATGATCTCGATCTCTTGACCTTGTGATCCACCCGCCTCAGCCTCCCAAAGTGCTGGGATTATAGGCGTGAGCCACCGTGCCTGGCCTGCCTCTTTTTTTTTTAATCTTCCTTAGGCACAGAAATCTTAGAATATTTTCAAAGCAAAGTTTTTCTTTGGAAACTTTATGTTAGAATGATGTGTTTTCAGCTCACCTTTATTTTTTTACTGGTCCTGGGTTACAGTTATGTCTCAGGGTAAACCAAGATACACACCATAACTTTTTCTGCCAGAGTGTTTAGTGAATATCAGCTCCTGGGTCATTTTCTCCCTAAGGACAACCTGAGGTATGAAGTGTAGCTTCTCAACAAAGCAGGTGGATGCCCTGGGGCTAAACTCAGCAATAAGTCTTCTCTCTTCTGTGGGCAAGGAACAGGCAGGAGAGGAAAGTCACATCACCTCTGTGTTGGGCCCAACGTTATGTCACAGTCTCTTTTTGGGCAACATTTAGGTAAGAGAAGAAGGTCTCATCAAATAGTCAGAGGGCCCAAAGATATGTCACAATGCACCTTGTAGTGAGGGTCCAGGCAGGAAACTCACATCATATTGGTTCTGGACCCAGGAATTAATCATCATGCCTTCTTTTTTTTTTGAGACGGAGTTTTGCTCTTGTTACCCAGGCTGGAGTGCAATGGCGAGATCTCAGCTCACCGCAACCTCCGCCTCCTGGGTTCAGGCAATTCTCCTGCCTCAGCCTCCTGAGTAGCTGGGATTACAGGCATGCGCCACCATGCCGACCTAATTTTTTTTTTTAGTAGAGACAGGGTTTCACCATGTTGACCAGGATAGTCTCAATCTCTTGACCTCGTGATCCACCCGCCTCAGCCTCCCAAAATGCTGGGATTACAGGCGTAAGCCACCACACCTGACCTTCATCATGCCTTCTAAGGGCAGTGTCAAGGCAAAAGTGTATGCTACCTTAGAATTAGGTCCACCGACATGTCACAATATCCTTTTCAGGCAGAACCTAGAGAGAGTGGGACAGTCATGTGAGCTAGGTTCTGAGCCCAGTGCTATGTCACAACCCCTTCTGTGAGCAGAGGCCAGGCAAGAGAAAAGAGCATTACCTGTGTGATGGGTGCAGGGATTTGTCACAATGACTTCTGTAGGCAGGACCTAGGCAGTAGAGTTACATCAACCTGGGTATTGGACCCAGCAAAAGTCACACTGGCCCACATGGGCAGGGCACAGGCAGGAGAGTCATATAACCTGTATTTGGGGCTCAGTGATATGACACAGTGTCCCCTGGGAAAGAGCCAAGGCTGGAGAGAGGATTCACATCACCTGGATACAAGATCCAGTGATGTCACAATGTTCCCTGTGGGCAGTGGCAAGGCAATAGAATAGTCACACCACCTCACTGCTGGGTCCAGGGATATGTCACAATCCCTTCTGTGGGCTGGGCAGTGCAGGAGCACCAAATCACTCTGGTGCTGGGAAAGTCATATGTCATTATCATACCAGAAGGAATGTTCAGACACAAGATTAGGCATCTAGACTGGAAAGAATCGATACATCAAAAACATGACTAGACCGTGCATGGTGGCTCATACCTGCAGTCCCAGCAGGTTAGGCGGCCATGGAGGATACCTGGAACCCAGGAGTTGAAGACTATTCTGGGGGAATCATGGTGAGATGACATCGCTGTTAAAAAATAATAATTAAAGTTAAAAAATATAAATATATTCAGAGCCTGGACAACATAACAAGATCACATCTTTACTAAAAAGATGGTAGATAGATAGATACATAGACCAGAAAGACAGACAGAGCCTGCCAGATAGATAGATAGACAAAGCCAGACAGACAAAGATAGATGATAGATAGAAGATAGATAGATAGATGACAGACAGACAGATAGACAGATAGCTAGCCAGGCAGGATGGCTTATGCCTATAATCCCAGCACTTTGGGAGGTCAAGGATGGTGGATTGCTTGACCACAGGAGTTTGAGACCAGCCTGAGAAACATGGTCAAATGTCATTTCTACAAAAATAAAAAGTAAAATATACAAAAAAAAGAAAAAAAGACCAAGCATGGTGGTGCATGACTGTAGTACTAGCTACCGGGGGAGCTAAAACGGAAGAATCCCTGAGTCCAAGCAGGTCCAGGCTGCAGTAAGTCGTGATTACACATCTGCACTGCAGCCTGGGTGACAGAGTGAGAAGACCTCATTATATATATAAGTATATATTTATTTATTTCTCTGTGTGTGTGTGTGTGTACACACACACACACACATATATATGAAAGAAGAAAAAAATTTAAGACAACAGCAATGTCAGTGTGCAGGAGGAAAGCGCATAAGAGAGAAAGAAAAGGAAAAAGTAATAGAAACTCAATGTACTGTGGAAACAAACTCAAAGTGGGGCTAGGAAAAAAAAAATTTAAAAACCACAAAAACAAAAACAAATAAAACCTCAGAAAAGTCCCCAGAGCTGCAGCTACTCTGTAGGCAGAAGTGGGAGGATGACCTGGGTGAGCCCGGGAAGGGAAGGCCGCGTGAGCCGTCATCGCACCCTCTACTGGACCAAAGCGGTATTGCCGCCGGCTAAAGCTATCTGGTCCACCTTAAACATTTCAAGCAGGCAGCCAGGTCCTTGCTTTGGGGCTGACACCTGGTGGACCCGGCAGCTGGACAGAGAAGCCAGCCGGTGTCGAGGGCAAAGGCCCAGCGGGTACACCCTACAGGTCAGGTGTGGCCGAGTGGCGCGAGGGGCCTGAAGCCATCTGTCTGGAGTCTAACTCCAACAACCTTCCTTCCCACCGCTCCCCGACATTGTCTGCTGGTTCACCCAACCTCCTAAGTAGTTCAACCTCCTAAATAGCTGGGAGTATAGGCATGCAACACCTCAACTGGCTAATTTTTTATTTTTAGTAGATACAGGGGTTCACTATGTTGGCCAGGTTGCTCTCGAACTCCTGACCTCAGGTTATCCGCTGGCCTCAGTCTCCCAGTGTTGGGATTACAGGTGTGACCCACCACACCCAGCCGATTTTTTAAATTTCTTATGTGTATGGTCCTGTAATAGAGCAGAATAATAGTAGCCTCAGAGTCCATGAGACCAGAAGCTGACATCTTAAATGTCTGTTTAGAATAAATTTAACAAGCCAATCTCTCTAACATAAAACTCCCGGAAAGACAAGCGATTTTTTTTTCTTTTTTCAATTTTTTTTTTTTTTTTAAGATGGGGTTTCACCATAATGGCCAGGCTGGTCTTGAACTCCTGACCTCAGGTGATCCACCCACCTCGGCCTCCCAAAGTGCTAGGATTACAGGCGTGAGCCACCGCACCCCGCAAGACAAGCGATTAAAAAAACATTGTGGCCAGGAAGTGAATCACGCCTGTAATCCCGGTATTTTAGAAGGCCAAGGCAGGGGGATCGCTTGAGCCTAGGAGTTCCAGACCAGCCTGGGCAACATCGTAAAAACCTCATCTCAAGCCAAAATACAAAAATTAGCCAGTTTTATAACCTCATCTCAAAATACATTAATAAATAGATTAAAATTTAAAAGGCTGGGCGTGGTGGCTAACACCTGTAATCCCAGCACGTTTGGAGGCCGAGGTGGGAGGATTGTGATGTCAGGCATTTGAGATTAGACTAGCCAGCATGGTGAATCCCCATCTGTACTAAAAATATAAAAATTAGCCGGGAGTGGTGGTGGGCACCTGTAATCCCAGCTACTTAGGAGGCTGAGGCAGGAGAATCACTTCAACCCAGGAGGCAAAGGTCACAGTTAGCCAAGACTACACCATTGCACTCCAGCCTGGGCAACAGAATAAGACTCCGTCTCAAAATAAATAAATTAATTAAATTAAAAATAAAATTTTTAATGTTGCATTCTGTTAATTTTGCTACCTACCCTGAGAAGGGCATAAAATATCTGTGGCTTGCTTCTTTGTTTATGAAGGGTCTCACTTTGTCACCCAGGCTGGAGTGCAGTGACACCATAATGGCTTATTGCAGTCTCAACCTCCCTAGGCTTAGATGATTCTCTCATCTCAGCCTTTTAAGTAGCTGACATCACAGGTATGCGCCAGCACACCCAGCTACTGTCCCAAACTCCTGGGCTCAAGTGATTCTCCTGTGTTGGCCTCCCAAAGTGTAGGATTACAGGCATGAGCCATCACGCCTGGTCTTCCTTAATATATCTGATCTCACTACATTCTGGTACTAAAGCCTCACATCAAAAAGTTAGAAAGATCTCAAGGTAACAACCTAAACATCACGACTAAAAGGACTAGAGAACCAAGACCAAACAAATCCCGAAGCCAGCAGAACTCAAGAAATAACCAAAATCAGAGCTGCACTGAACAAAATCGTGGCATGAAAACACATTCAAAAGACCAACAAATCCAGCAGCTGGTGTTTGAAAAAAATAACTAACAAGACCACTAGCTAGACTAATGAAGAAAATGGAGAAGATTCAAATAAACACAATCAGAAACAATAAGGGGGTATCAGCACTGACCCCAGAGAAATACAGAAATACAGACAATCACCAGAGAATATTATGAACAACTTGATGCACAGAAACTAGAAAATCTAGAAGAAATGGATAAATTCCTGCAATCACACACCCTGTCAAGATTGAACCAGGAAGAAACTGAATCCCTGAACAGACCAATAATGAGTTAGGAAATTGAGGCCATAATAAATAGCCTGCCAATTGATAAAAGTCCTGGACTAGATGGATTCACAGCTGAATTCTCCCAGATGTACAAAGAAGAGCTGGTACTGTTCCTACTGAAATTATTCCAAAAAACTGAAGAGAAGGGACTCCTCCCTAAACTCATTCTATGGGACCAGGAGTATCTTGACATGAAAACCTGAAAAAGATATAACAAAAAAGAAAAGCTTCATGGCAATATCCTTGACGAACATTGATGCAAAAATCTTCCAACAAAATACTAGCAAAGCAAATTCAGCAGCAAATCAAAAACGTATCCACCATGCTCAGGTGGGCTTCATCTCTGGGATGTAAGTTTGGTTCCACATACCCAAATGAATAACTACGATTCATTACAGAAACAGGACTAGGGACAAAAAACACATGACTATTTCAGTAGATGCAGAAAATGCGTTTATTAAAATTTAAAATCAATTCATATTAAAAACTCTCAGTAAACTAGGTATTGGGGAAAAAAGCTCAAAATAATAGCCGGGTGAGGTGGCCCATGCCTGTAATCCCAGCACTTTGGGAGGTTAAGTTGGGTGGATCACCTGAGGTTGGGAGATCAGCCTCAGGTCAAGACCAGCCTGACTAACATGGAGAAATCCCATCTCTATTAAAAATACAAAATTAGCCGGGTGTGGTGGCACATGTGTGTAATCCCAGCTACTTGGGAGGCTGAGGCAGGAGAATCACTTGAACCTGGGAGGTGGAGATTGCAGTTAGCCGAGATCATGCCACTGTACTCTAGCCTGAGCAACAAGGGCAAAACTCTGTCTCAAAAAAAAAAAAAAAAAAAACCTCAGAATAATAAGAGCCACCTATGACAGATCCACAGCCAACATTATACTGAATGAGAAAAAGCTGGAAGCATTCTCCTTGAAAACCAGAATGAGACAAGAATGTCATTTCTCATCACTCCTATTCAACATAGTACTGGAGGGGTTTTGGTCTGGGTATTCAGGCAAAAGAAAGAAAGAAAGGGCATCCAAATACAAAGAAAGGCAATCAAACCATCCCTGTTTGCAGATTACATGATTCTGTTTCTAGAAAACCTGATAGTCTCAGCCCAAAAGCTTCTTAAACTGATGAAGAAGCTTTTGGGCTCTGGTAAAGTCTCAGAATAAAAAATCAACGTGCAAAAATTGCTAGCATCCCTATACACAAATAGTAAAGCTGACAGCCAAATCATGAAGAAACTCACATTCACAATTGCCACAAAAAGAATAAAATACCAGCCGGGTGCGGTGGCTCACGCCTGTAATCCCAGCACTTTGGGAGGCCGAGGCGGGTGGATCACAAGGTCAAGAGATCAAGACAATCCTGGTCAACATGGTGAAACCCTGTCTCTACTAAAAATACAAAAAATTAGCTGGGCATGGTGGCGTGTGCCTGTAATCCCAGCTACTCAGGAGGCTGAGGCAGGAGAATTGCCTGAGCCTAGGAGGCGGAGGTTGCGGTGAGCCGAGATTGCACCATTGCACTCTAGCCTGGGTAACAAGAGGGAAACTCCGTCTCAAAAAACAAAAAAAAACCTTTTAAGTTCAAAGGTACAAGTGCAGGTTTGTGACATAGATAAACTTGTGTCATGATGGTCTGTTGTATAGATTATTTAATAACTCAGGTATTAAGCCTAGTACTGATTAGTTATTTTTTCTGATCCTCTTTCTCTTCCCACCTTTTACTTTTTAAAAGAAACTAATGTGTGTCGTTCCTGTCCCTGTGTCTGTGTGTTCTCATTATTTACCTCTCACTCATAAGTGAGCACTGTGGTATTTGGTTTTCTGTTCCTGTGTCAGTTTGCTAAAGACAATAGCTTCCAGCTCCATCCACATCTCTGCAAAGGGCATAACCTCGTTTTTCTTCTGGCTGCAAAGTATTTCATGGTGTATATGTACCACATTTTTTTGGTCCAGTCTATCACTGATGAAAGTTTAGGTTGAGTCCATGTGTTTGCTATGCTGGTGGTGCCACAGTGACCATACATGTGGATGTGTATTTATAACAGAATTTATATATTTGGGGGTATATACCCAGTAATGGGATTGCTCATCACACTGGACCAGGCATGGTGGTTCACGCCTGTAATCCCAGCATTTTGGGAGGCATAGGTGGGTGGATCACCTGAGGTCAGGAATTCTAGACCAGCCTGGCCAACATGGGGAAATGTGGGTGGAAGTTCTCGTAAGTGCCAAAGCAGGAGACTGAAGCCTCAGTCAGTTCCTGTTTAATAAATAGAATACAGAAAGAAGAATATAGTTAAGAATAAGTATCATGAGTAATTAGATATTAATCTTATTGAATATTTAGCCTTGATTAAAGCCTTCTTGTACTTTATGTATAATTATCTAGGAACATTCAGGTTGCTGTGTCAGGAACTGGTAAAGGACACTATGGGATGCGGCCACGGCCACGAGGCAAGAGCATTAATACCTGTCAAACATCAACTGGTGGCAATCAGCAGGGGCAACCTGTTGAATGCTAAAACCAAGCCGTCTATCACACCATAAGTGTTGCTGGAGGGCGTCTAAAATCTTTGTGGTAGCACCGGTGCTTCGGGAAGCACCTGCTACTCAGCAGACCACGGAAAGAAACATCCCCTGTCCGTGGGTGAGCTGGAGAACACTCTACTACCCCACACTCTTGTGGAAGGACTGACACCAGTCAGCCCAAGCCACAGTTGTCCAGGGACTTAATTGCCTCTATGTGGTGCTGTGCTATGTTTGGTCACAATCTGTGTCTACTTTCACTCCCTGCCTCTGCACCTGGTTCCTCTTTTGCAGATATCAGTAAGAAGAAGCATAATTCAAGCCGCAGTGGCTCAGGACAGTTGTCTTGGCGCTTGAGGAGGTGAGGCTATGTGTTCGAGGCCAGCCTGGGTAACATAAGAACCTCTCATTCATTTAAAAAACAAAAGCAGCAGCATATTTCTTGAAGCCTTTGATCTTACTTGACAGGCACAACATCAAGTGCTGACGCATTTCATCACCCCTGCTTAGGCTACTTGAAAGCCCTGGGCCCCCTTGTTCCTTAGACCCGTGATTTGCTCGACCCTATCAATAACTGTGGATGGCTCATCCTACTTACAGTGCCCCCCTGCTTTGTATCCAATCAAAGTCAGTGTGTCCAGGCACTCGGGGCCACTGCCAGTCTCATGAACTGGTGGCAGTGGTCCCCTGGACACAACCCTTTTCCCTTGATCTCAGTGTATTGTGTCTTTATTTCTACAGTTTCTCGTCTCCGCACCAGTAGAGAACATCCTTTAGACCAAGTAGGGCTGGACCCTACAGCGAAACCCCATCTTCACTAAAAATACAAAAATTAGCTGGGCGTGGAGTCTTGTGCCTGGAATCCCAGCTACTCGGGAGGCTGAGGCAGAAGAATCACTTGAACCCGGGATGTGGAGGTTTCAGTGAGCCAAGATCATGACATTTGCACTCCAGCTTGGGGAACAAGAGCAAAACTCCAAGAAAAAAAATCATCACACTGTCTTCAACAATGGCTGAACTAATTTACACTCCCACCAACAGTATACAAACATTTCTTTTTTTCCACAACCTAACCAGCAGCTGTTATTTTGTTAACTTACTAAAAATAGTCTTTCTGACTGCCGTGAGATAATCTCTTATTGCAATTATGATTTGCATTTCTTTCATAATCAGTGATTGTTGACCACAGGTAGGTTTTCTTTTAATACACTTCTGTTCATGTTCTTCCCCAGCTCTTTTTTTTTTTTTTTCTGAGATGCAATATTGGCTGGGCGTGGTGGCTCATGCCTGTAATCCAAGCACTTTGGAGGCCAAGGCAGGCGGATCACCTGAGGTCCAGTGTTCAAGACCAGCCTGACCAACATGGTGAAACCTCGTCTTAAAAAAAAAAAAGAGAGATGCAATATTGCTCTGTCACCCAGACTGGAGTTCAGTGGCAGGATCCTGGCTCACTGAAACCCTCTACCTTCTGGGTTTAAGCAATTCTCTTGCCTCAGCTTCCCTAGTAGCTGGGATTACAGGTGTCCACCACCATGCCCAGCTAATATATATATATGTATATGTATATACACACATATATATGCATATACATATATACACACATATGTGTATATATATTATATATATATTTATGTATATATAATATAATATATACATGTATATATTTTAAGATGGAGTTTTGCTCTTGTTGACCAGGGTGGAGTGCAATGGTGCAATCTCAGCTCACCGAAACCTTCACCTCCCAAATTCAAGTGATTGTCCTGCCTCAGCCTCCTGAGTAGCTGGGATTACAGGCATGTGCCACCACACCTGGCTAATACTGTATTTGTAGTAGACATATGGGATTTCTCCATTTGGTCAGACTGGTCTTGAAATCCCTACCTCAGGTGATCCTCATGCCTCAGCCTCCCAAAGTGCTGAAATTACAAACGTGAGCCACGGCACCCGGTGATATTTTATATATATATTTTTTTTTTGAGACGGAGTTTTGCTCTTGTTACCCAGGCTGGAGTGCAATGGTGTGATCTCGGCTCACCGCAACCTCCACCTCCTGGGTTCAGGCAATTCTCCTGCCTCAGCCTCCTGAGTAGCTGGAATTACAGGCACACGCCACCGTGCCCAGCTAATTTTTCGTATTTTTTAGTAGAGACGGGGTTTCACCATGTTGACCAGGATGGTCTCGATCTCTTGACCTCGTGATCCACCCGCCTCGGCCTCCCAAAGTGCTGGGATTACAGGCTTGAGCCACCGCGCCCGGCTAATTTTTGTATTTTTATTAGAGACGGGGTTTCACCATGTTGACCAGGATGGTCTTGATCTCTTGACCTCGTGATCCACCCACCTCGGCCTCCCAAAGTATTGGGATTACAGGCGTGAGCCACCGTGCCCGGCCAATATTTTGTATTTTTAATCGAGATGAGGTTTTACCATGTTGGCTAGGCCGGTCTGGAACTCCTGACCTCAAGTCATCTACCCACCTGCCAAGGTGCTGGAGTTAACAGGTGTGAGCCACTGAGCCCGGTCCTATTTTATTCACTTTTTTATGGAGTTGTTGTTTTTCTTTTTCTTTCCTTTTATTTTTATTTTTGCAATGGAGTCTCTCTCTGTCACACAGGCTGGAGTGTAATAGCATGATCTTGGTTCACTACAACCTCTGCCTCCTGAGTTCATCAATTCTCCCATCTTACCCTCCCAAGTAGCTGGGACTACTGGTGCCCACCGCTATGCCTGACTAATTTTTGTATTTTATGGTAGAGACAGGGTTTGACCATGTTGGCCAGTCTGGTTTCGAACTCCTGACTTCAAGTTATCTGCCTGCCTCAGCCTCTGAAAGTGCTAGGATTATAGTTGTGAGCCACTGCTTCCAGCCACATGACAGTTCTCACATTAAATTTGCCGAGATACCACTATTTACCATTTTTTAAAGAAAAATTGAGGCTGGGTGCAGTGGCTCATGCCTGTAATCTCAGCAATCTGGGAGGCTGAGGCGGGCTTATCACATGAGGTCAGGAGTTCGAGACCCACCTGGCCAACATACTGAAACCCCATCTCTACTAAAAATACAAAATTAGCTGGGTGGAGTGGCACGTGCCTGTAATCCCAGCTACTTAGGAGGCTGAGGCAGAAAAATCACTTGATCCTGGTAGGCGAAGCCGAGATCATGGCACTGCACTCCAGCCTGAACAACAAGAGCAAAACTCTGCCTCAAAAAAAAAAAAAAAAAAGAAAAGAAAAGAAAAGAAAAAGAAAAATTGAAATATTTCACCTAAAAAAAAGTGAAGGAGAAAAAGAGGATTTCACATCTAAAGTCTTTGTTTTCTTTATAAAACCACAGCCCCTTGTCAGTTGATTTGTCCAAAGGTGTCTGACAGGCACTAATACACTTAATGAATCAATCAGGAAAAATGGGTCTCTCAGGTGACAAGGAGTCACAATGGTACCTAAACCCAATCCATTCTCAGCTTTACATGGTGCCCCCCTCAGGAAGTGGTGTTAACCGTGTGAACCACATTCACTGGACAAGGCCAGAGGAGAGCGTGTTTAGGACAACACAACCATGAGGCTGCAAATCAAACTGCGGGCAGGAAGCGCATACGAGTTTCCATGGCCAAGACACTGCTGGCCGTCCTTCGGTGTCACTTAAACTTCAACGTGAAAGACATCTTTTCCCAGTTGGCTCAGAGAAACTAACAGACATTAGAATTGGAATTTATTGGTTTTCTATTTTCCAGAATTTCTAAGACATGAAGGACTCTCCAAACACTCCAAAGGGCATTTAGCTATACATGAGGCTGAGGACCTGGCTGCTCTGGAGAGGGATGGCTGGGCAGCAGCCACCAGCTGTAATAGCTGTGAACTCTCCTTTTATAGGGTCAGGCCACCTCCACACACCATTGCTTACTTCATAGGCTCTGTCCCTGAGGTCTACCTGGGGTATTGCCTTCCTCCCATCTCATTGGCTGTCTAGGAAACTCCAGCTTCCTATAAAAGCTACCCTAGAATGGCAAGATGTAGACCCTCCTCCATTCTCCCAGCACAGTGGGACTTCCGGAGAGTGCTGGCTAATTCCTTTAACTGAGCTGACAAGGGAAAGTGCCCGGCAGTTAGATGTTCAGTGAGCTAACAGGTCCAACGTGCCAGGGCCTAGCCCCACAGCCTAGCATCTCTCCTCTAGGCTTTTTCCCTTTTTTTTTTTTTTTTTTTTTGTCAGATGTAGCCACGCTGTTGCCCAGGCTGGAGTGCAGTGGTGCAATCTCAGTTCACCACAATCTCCACCTCCCAATCTCAAGCAATTCTGCCTCAGACTCCTGAGTAGCTGGGATTACAGGTACATGCAATCACACCTGGCTAATTTTGTATGTTTACTGGAGTCAGGGTTTCACTATGTTAGCTAGGTTGGTCTTGAACTCCTGACCTCATGATCCACCCGCCTTGGCCTCCCAAAGTGCTGGGATTACAGGAGTGAGCCACCACACCAGGCCTTAGCCTTTTTTCTTCTGTCACCAATGACAGGTGATGTTCACCTGTGCCACACACTCATGAGCCTAGCAAATGGTGTGGGTAAATTCCAACTGAGTGCCTGTGACTCCACACTCTTACTTCCCACTCAACTGGCATTGGAAGTATAACCGTCAATATGATCTAATTTACACATATTTCTCTCTTAGTAACCTTTCTGACAACAGCCCTCACAATCAAATGAGACTGGGTTACAGAACACAGGGGTAAGGCTGGAGCAGCAGTTTATAGAAACTTACTTTATTCTAATGTAATATAAAAATGGGATGTTTTAAAAACAAGAAAACATTTTAAATCAGCTATGGGGATGCTACACTTGCTAGTTCATGCCCACTCCCTTTAAAACAAGGTATCTGGGCAAACCATATTCACAGGTAGCTTTTTGCAAAACCCCAGGCAGAAGCCCCAGTCAGACGCAGCTCCCTCGGCTCACAGGGTGGCAACCTCCTTCTCCATGTTAGGGCTCTGACAGCAGGAAAGTGAGGGAGCACAGGCAGGTGGGGACAGAGAGCAGCCTGGACCTCAGGTGATCCGCCCACCTCGGCCTACAAAAGTGCTGGGATTACAGGTGTGAGCCACCACGCCCAGCCCTGCTTTTCTTTTCTTTTTTTTTTTTTTTTTGATACGGAGTTTCACTCTTGTTACCCAGGCTGGAGTGCAATGGTGCGATTTCAGCTCACTGCAACCTCCGCCTCCTGGGTTCAAGCAATTATTCTGTCTCAGCCTCCCGAGTAGCTGGGACTACAGGCACGCGCCACCATGCCCAGCTAATTTTTGTATTTTTAGTAGAGACGGGGTTTCACCTTGTTGACCAGGATGGTCTGATCTCTTGACCTCGTGATCCACCCGCCTCGGCCTCCCAAAGTGCTGGGATTATAGGCGTGAGCCACCGCGCCCGGCCCCCTGCTTTTCTTTTAAAATCCCAGGTTGCCTACTCAAAAGACCAGAGATCAGAAAGCTTATGAAATGTTAAATATTAAAATAACTGTTATTACCATGTTTCCATTTGTGAGCAATGTCCTGTCCCGTTTCAGCACAGTGGCTTTGGCCCCAGCCTGTAGCCCTGTTTGCACAGCTCTGCACCCGCAGCCCCGCATCTTCCCCAGGTTGTGAGGCAATAAGGAGAAGGTCATCGAGGAAAGACGCCGACTGGGTGTGCAGGGCTCCAGCACAGAAAAAGCTCTGGTCTGTGGGGTCCCCAGTCCCTATTTTACCCTATTAAAAATATATGTGTGTATGAATAAAATGATCAATTGCATAACCTTCTATCTACACAAGATTTTTGTTCGTTTTTTTTGAGATGGAGTCTCGCTTTGTTACCAGGCTGGAGGGCAGTGTGGCGCGATCTCGGCTCATTACAACCTCTGCTTCCAGGGTTCAAGCGATTCTCCTGCCTCAGCTTCCGGAGTAGCTGGGACTACAGGCGCGCACAACCATGCCCAACTAATTTTTGTATTTTTAGTAGAGACGGGGTTTTACCATTTTGGCCAGGCTAGAATTGTCTCGAACTCTTGATCTTGTGATCCACCCTCCTTGGCCTCCCAAAGTGCTGGAATTAGAGGCCTGAGGCACCACGCCCGGCCTACACAGGATTTAAAAATAACCCTGGGCACGGGTGGGCCCAGCCCATAGAGAAAGCACTTCCTGAAAATGACTGAAGCCAGAAGCCTGTCACTCTCGCCTTATTCAATGCAGTGTCTGGTCGCATCTTCTGTCACTCCAGAACTGAGGGCGCGGACCCGCAGCTGTATCCATTCAGGGCGCTGGGGCGGGAACTGTCCAATCAGGTTCACAGTCAGAGAGGAAGGGGCGGCTGCCAGTGTCCGGCGGGGACTTTGTTTCTGGCTCTACTCGGAGATCCAGTTTAGTTCTTCGCTTCCCTGTGTTCTCTTTCCGGGAGGTCTCGGTGATTCTGCCACAGCCTCAGCTTCCATCGCTCTGTGACTTCATGGTGTTGGAAGATTCATAGACTCCAGGACATTTCTGAAACCGAGAAATGGTGAGTGTGCGGGGCAGGGCGTCGTCCGGAGATTGGGGAGACCTCTTCAGAACCCCCCAGAAATGGCGGTGGTGGGACGGAGTCTGTGAGCGCCCGCTTTTAGCAGCTCAGACCTCTGTCTCCCCCGGTGCAAGGACCCCGGGAGTCCTTTCTCGTTTCAGCACAGCGGCTTTAGCCCCAGCCTATAGCCCTCTTTGCGCAGCTGTGCACCCGCAGACCTACATCTTCCCCAGGTTGGGGGTGATGAGGGGAAGGTCATCAGGGCAAGATCCCGACTGGGTGTGCGGATTTCCTGCGTGAAAGGAGCAGTGGTCTGTGGGTTCCCCAGTTCCTGCTTTACCCTGTTCAAAAATAAACTGAAGCACAATTGAAACATTAAAGAGTTAACATGGGTGGGCGCGGTGGTTCACACCTGTAATCTCAACACTTTCGTAGGCCAGGGGGAAGGGGGAGCGGATCACGAGGTCACGAGTTCGAGAGCAGCATGACCAACATGGTGAAACCTTGTCTCTACTAAAAATGCAAAAATTGGCCACGCGCGGTGACTCACGCCTGTAATCTCAGCATTTTGGGAGGCCGAGGCGGGCGGATCACCTAAGGTCGGGAGTTCCAGACCAGCCTGACTAACATGGAGAAACCCCATCTCTACTGAAAATACAAAAAAAATTAGCTGGGCGTGGGGGCGTAGGCCTGTAATCCCAGCTACTCCGCAGGCTGAGGCAGGAGAATTGCTTGAACCAGTGAGGGGGAGGCTGTGGCGAGCCAAGATTGCGCCACTGTGTTCCAGCCTGGGTGATAGCGAAACTCCCTCTAAAAAACAAACAAGGCCGGGCGCGGTGGCTCACGCCTAGCACTTTGGGAGGCCAAGGCAGGCAGATCACAAAGTCAGTTCGAGACCAGCCTGACTAACATAGTGAAACCCCGTCTTAAAAAAAATTACAAAAATTAGTCAGGCATGGTGGCGCGCAACTTTAATCCCAGCTACTCAGAAGCCAGAGGCAGGAGAATCGCTTGGACCCTGGAGGTGGAGGTCGCAATGAGCCGAAATTGTGCAGCTGCCCTCCAGCCTGGGCAACAGAGCGATTCCATCTCAAAAAGAAAAGAAAGAAAAAAGAAAAAAAGTGTATTTTAGACAGTTCTGTCATCTTGGCCAGTGTGTAGTATCACAATCATTGCTCAATCTAACCTTCAATTTCTTAGGTCTCAGCCCCCTTAGTAACTGGTACTACAGGTACACACCACCACACTGGCTAGTTTAATTTTTTTTTTTTTTTTGTAGAGATGGTGTCTCATTATGTTGCCCAGGCAGGTCTCAAACTCCTGTCCTCAAGTGATCCTCCCACCTTTGCCTCCCCAGATGCTTGAATTACAAGCATGAGTCATAGTACCTGGCCTCTGTATGACCTTTAATTTTTTTTATTCCGTTTTCCCATGTTTGTAACATGTTTCAAATTATACAGTGTTTCCATGGTGGATGTGGCAGATTCACCAAATGAAAATACAGAAGGCACAATTACATTTAAATTTGGGATAAACACCAAATAACTTTTTAGTATAGCTATGCAATATTTACATATTGATATAAATGTAAACGATTATTGGAATATATTTATACAAATGATAATTTATAATTTACCTGAATTTCAAATTAAACCAATTATATTTTTCTTTTTTTTTTTTTTAGATGGAGTCTTGCTCTGTCACTGACGCTGGAGTGCAGTGGCACAATCTCCACTCACTGCAACTTACGCCTCTGGGGTTCGACTCTCCTGCCTCAGCCTCTCGAGTAGCTGGGAGTACAGGCATGTACTACCATGCCCGGCCAATTTTATAGTTTTAGTAGAGACAGGGTTTCTCTTTGTTGGTCATGCTGGTCTCGAACTCCCAACTTCAGGTGATATGCCTGACTCAGCCTCCCAAAGTGCTGGAATTGCAAGTGTAAGCTACCACGCATGGCCAGGACTTTTTTTTTTTTTTTTGTAAGAGTTGTTTTATTTGGGTGTCAGGTGAGCAGATGTGTACCTGTGACTTTAGCACTAAGCTCTTGGGGATTGTGAGATGGTCCAAGCACCAGCTTTCAGCCAGTCTATACTGTGACTGTTTTTTTTTTTCCCCCCTCGAGATAGTTTCATTCTTGTCTCCCAGGCTGGAGTGCAGTGATGCGAACTTTGCTCACTGCAACCTCCATCTCCCGGGTTCAAGTGATTCTCCTGCCTCAGCCTTCCAAGTAGCTAGGATTACAGGCATCCGCCACAACACCTGGCTAATTTTTTTGTATTTTTAGTAGAGACAGTGTTTTGCCATGTTGGCCAGGCTGGTCTTGAACTCCTAGCCTCAAGTGATTCACTTGCCTTGGCCTCCTAAGGTGCTGGGATTATAAGTATGAGCCACCATAGCTGGCCTGTTTAAAATTCTTTGGAGTAGTGTGAAGATAGGAATAAACAGCTCCTGAATGCTAACAATGGCTGTTAGTACATTCTAGGGTAGTACAAGGTGGCCACGCTGTGGTTCTTGGTCTTTCTGTGGCTCCTCTTTCAGTGGCTGGTTGAGTGGTTTTTAGTCCTGTGATACAGTATGTATGTGTGTAAGGGCAGCTGAGCACAGGGTGGGAAAAGCAGGTAGAAGCCAGGGCCTTGGAGGGCATGTCCAGGCATTAGGTTTTTTGCTTGCTTGGCAATTTTTTTTTTTTTTGTCTTGCTCTGTTACCAGGCTGAAGTGCAGTGGCATAATCTTGGCTCACTATAACCTCTTTCTCCCAGGTTCAAGTGATTCTTCTGCCTCAGTCTCCCAAGTAGCAGGGACTACAGGTGTGTGCCACCATGCCCAGCTACCTTTTGTATTTTTAGTAGATGCAGGATTTTACCATGTTGGCCAGGATGGTCTTGATCTCCTGACCTGGTAATCTGCTCACCTCAGCCTCTCAAAGTGCTGGGATTACAGGTGTGAGCCATTGAGCCCAGCCCAGAATTTTTATTTTAATGTGTTGGTTGTTAATGGTTCAGAACAATCTAGCTCTTTGAGGTCTGCATAATTTATCAAGCCCAGAGAGATGAGAGTATGAGAGGTAAATCTCACCCCACATCTGTGCCCAGGAGCAACTGCTTAAAAACATTTGTTTCTGACTAGCTGTCTCACCCATTATATATATATATATTTTGAGATAGAGTTTCGCTCTTGTTACCCAGGCTGGAGTGCAATGGCGCTATCTTGGCTCACTGCAACCTCCGCCTTCTGGGTTCAGGCAATTCTCCTGCCTCAGCCTTCTGAGTAGCTGGGATTACAGGCATGCGCCACCATGCCCAGCTAATTTTTTATATTTTTAGTAGAGACAGGGTTTCACCATGTTGACCAGGATGGTCTCGATCTCTCGACCTCGTGATCCACCCGCCTCAGCCTCCCAAAGTGCTGGGATTACAGGTGTGAGCCACCGTGCCTGGCCCCATTATTTATATTTTTGTAGAATATGTAAAACAAAGAAATATATGTAGCCAATCAATACCCAATCAATTTACCAAAATTTTTCATGTCAATTCTTGGTACACAACTTAGAAACAGTTGGGCACAGTGGCTCACACCTGTAATCCTAGCACTTTGGAAGGCTGAGGTGGGCAGATTACCTGAGGTCAGGAGTTTTTTTGTTTGTTTTTTTAGGAGATGGGGTCTCACTATGTTGCCCAGGCTGGAGTGCAGTAGCTATTCACCAGCGGGATCCCACTACTGATCATCATGGGAGTTTTGACCTGCTCTGTTTCTGACTTGGGCTGGTTCACCCCTCCTTAGGCAACCTGGTGGTCCCCTGCTCCTGGGAGGTCACCATATTGATGCTGAAGTTAGTGCGGACACCCGATCAGCATAGCGCATGACAGCCCAGAACTCCTGAGCTCCAGCAATCCCTGAGGTCAGGAGTTCTAGACTAGCCTGACAAACATGAAGAAACCCATCTCTGCTAAAAATACAAAATTAGCCAGGTGTGGTGGTGCATGCCTGTGATCCCAGCTACTCTAAAGGCTGAGGCAGGAGAATCACTTGAACCTGGGAGGTAGAGGTTGTGGTCAGCCAAGATTGCGCCACTGAACTCCAGCCTGGGCAACAGGAGCAAAACTTTATCTAAAAACAACTTAGAATCTGCCTTTGTATTGTTTCAAAAAGATAGACTTGTAATGGCTACAAATTGGAATATATATTCAGGGTAGCTTAAATCTATTGTCTGGTGTCCATCCTTAATATCTGATCTTAAATGAATTCAAATTAGATTCTGACCTTTTTCATTTTAGGTTAAGTAGGGTCTGGCCTGGAATACTGTCCTAGATGAAAATAGTCTTAACTATGAGCTACCTTCTCAGCAGATGAGATGAAATTAAAACTATTCAACTCCTCAAGGCCCAGGGAGTATCACAGAAGAGGTGGGCATGTGAGACTGTAAGAACTGATTTTGATAGATACAGTAAGTTTAGTTTTTCTGTAAATTAATCATTCATGTCAAAGGCACACTGATGCAACACCAGACTAGTGGTCTCTGTGCGAGATTAACAAGGTTTTCTTGAAGCATTAACTGACTCCTTATTAAAGGTTCTTGAGGCCAGGCGTGGTGGTTCATGCCTGTAATCCAAGCACTTTGGAGGCCAAGACGGCCTGAATTTATTTATTTATTTATGTATTTATTTATTTTTAAGACAGAGTCTCGCTCTGTTGCCAGGCTGCAGGGCAGTGGCGTGATCTCAGCTCACTGCAACCTCTGCCACCCTGGTTCAAGTGATCCTCCTGCCTTGGCTTCCTGAGTAACTGGGACTACAGGCTCGTGACATCACAACCAGCTAATTTTTTGCATTTTTAGTAGAGACGGTGTTTCACCATGTTGGCCTGGATGGTTTGGATCTCTGGACCTCATGATCCACCTGCCTTGGCCTCCCAAAGTGCTGGGATTACAGGCATGAGCCACCATGCCCAGCCTTTAAAAGTCTTATCTGAGGCCAGGCATGGTGTCTCATACTTGTAATTTCAGCACTTTGGGAGGCTGAGGCAGGTGGATTGCCTGAGCTCAGGAGTTCAAGACCAGCCTGGGCAATACAGAAAAACCCAGACTCTACTAAAACTACAAAGAATTAGCTGGGCATGGTGGTGTGGGCCTGTAGTTCCAGCTACTCGGGAGGCTGAGGCAGGAGATTGAACCCGAGAAGCAGTTTGCAGTAACCCCAGATTTCACCACTACACTGCAGCCTGGGCGACACAGCAAGACTCCTCTAAAAAATAAAAATAAACAAGGGCCAGGCACTGTAGCTCATGCCTGTAATTCCAGCACTTTAAGAGGCCAAGGCAGGCAGATCACCTGAGATCAAGAGTTCAAGATCAGCCTGACCAATGGAGAAACGATGTCTCTACTAAAAAAAAAAAAAGTTAGTTGGGTATGGTGGTGCATGCCTGTAATCCAATCAAACTTGGGAGGCTGAGGCAGGAGAATCTCTTGAACCTGAGAGGTGGAGGTTGCGGTGAGCAGATTGTGCCATTGTACTCCAGCCTGGGCAACAAGAGTGAAACTTCGTCACACTCACCAAATAAAGAGTGTTCATACTAGAATATATTTTTCCAGACGCAATAAAAAAAAAAAAAAAAAATTGGATCCATAATTAAGTGTATGCAAGTAAATTATGGTAGGAATATATAAGTCACTGAACACTTCAGATATACTAAATCAGAGTGCTGAGTATAGGAAATCTAAAACTAAGTTGGTAGAAAAATTATTTGTATATAACCTTTTTTTGTGTGTGAGACGGAGTCTTGCTCTGTTGCCAGACTGGAGTGCAGTGGTTCAATCTCAGCTCACTGCAACCTCTGCCTCCTGGATTCAAGTGATTCCTCTGCCCCAGCCTCCCAAGTAGCCAGTTCTACAGGTGTGTGCCACCAGGCGCTGCTAATTTTTTTAATATGTATTTTAGTAGAGACAGGTTTTCACCATGTTGGCCAGGATGGTCTTGATCTTCTGACTTAATGATACCCACCTTGGCCTCCCAAAGTGCTGGGATTCCAGGCGTGAGCCACTAAACCCAGCCTTGTATATAACTTCAAGAGGATCAGAAGGTTTTTTGCAGTTATAATTACATCTAAAGTATATTTCTTGAAAAGGATTTCAGGTATTGTGAAAAGAATAATGATATCATTCAACTCTGAAATTATTTCCTACTGTTTCTTCATTCCTATTGGATTCCCATGTGAAAGCATGGGATCAATTGTTTCTGCATCAAAGATATGAGAGATTCATTTTGTTTTAATATTTGTTTTTTGAGTTGGAGTTCCACTCTTTTGCCCAGGCTGGAGTGCAGTGGCGGGATCTTTGCTCACTGCAACCTCTGCCTTCAAGCAATTCTCCTGCGTCAGCCTCCCAAGTAGTTGGGATTACAGGTACCTGCCATGATGCACAGCTAAATTTTTTTATTTTTAGTAGAGACAGGGTTTCAACATGTTGGCCAGGCTAGTATTGAACTCCTGAACTCATGATCTGCCTCAGTCTCCCAAAGTGCTGGGATTACAGGCATGAGCCACACCTGGCAAGAGATTATTTTTTATTAGGTGGACATTATTTATAATCTTTTTTATAGAAAAATAAAGATTAAAATGTAAAATGCACAATGAAAATCTAAATGGAGAGGTTCTTTGGAGTCAATCTGAGTGATGCATGAGGTTGGTTTTTAGAGTAATATTATACATTATCATGAGAAGAAAACATGTTTTATTTAAAATTAAATTAGTGTTTGTACTGATTGTATTTTTTATATAATACATTTTTAAAATTTAATTTAGACATAATTAAGTTTCTGATATTGCTAGTAATGCCATAGAGGTTGCATTATATCTGTAGATCATTTTGTGTAATACAAATATTTAACTATTAATAATGCCAGTTCATAAATGAGTAATATCTCATTATGTATTAATTTACATAGCATTCTTTAGGGTAAAATGTATTGTTATAACCAATATGAAATCTCATCAATATGATTTCTTTTATGGTTAGAAAAGTTTTAGGTGTTTTCAAAAGCACCGTCACATCTTCCTGCTTTGTAGAGTTTCTCTCCATGTCTTTTAAGAACTGAGGACTAGTTAAAGGCTTTGCCATATTTTTCACTCATAGGATTTCTCTCCAGTGTGAATTTTTTTCATGTCTAGTAAGAATTGAGGACTGGTTAAAGGTATTGTTACATTCTTCACATTTGTTAGATTTTTCTCCTCTGTGAATCATTTTGTTCAATATGGTTTGAGGACTGGTTAAAAGCTTTGCCACATTGTTAACATTTGTAAGGTTTATCTCCAGTATGAATTATATTGTTTAGTAGGAGTTGAGGACTGGATAAAGGTTTTACCACATTCTTCACATTTGTAAGATTTTTCTCCAGTATGAGTTATCCTGTGTTTAGTAAGGTTTGAGGATTGGTTAAAACCTTTGCCATATTCTTCACATTTGTAGGGTTTCTCTCCAGCGTGAATTATCTTATGTGTAGTAAGGGTTGAAGATTGGTTAAAAGCTTTGCCAGACGCGGGTGGATCTTGAGGTCAAGAGATCGAGACCATCCTGGTTAACATGGTGAAACCCCGTCTCTACTAAAAATACAATAATTAGCTGGGCATGGTGGTGTGTGCCTGTAATCCCAGCTACTCAGGAGGCTGAGGCAGGAGAATTGCCTGAACCCAGAAGGTGGAGATTGCAGTGAGCCGAGATCGCGCCATCACACTCCAGCCTGGGTAACAAGAGCAAAACTCTGTCTCAAAAAAAAAGCTTTGCCACATTTTTTTACATTTGTAGGGCTTCTCTCCAGTATAAATTATCTTATGTGCTGTAAGTTGGGGACACTGGTTAAAAGCTTTGCCACATTCCTCACATTTATAGGTTTTTCCTTCAGTATAAATTATGTTTAGTAATGGATGAGAATTTGTTAAAAGCTTTGCCACATTCTATACATTTGTATGATTTCTCTACTATATTAATTAAGTTTAGTAAGGCATGAGAATCAATAAAAGCTTTGAGACGTGTAGGATTTCCCTCCAGCATGAATTATCTTATGTGTAGTCAGGGTTGAGAAGTGAAAACTTTATCACATTCGTCACATTTATATGATTTCTCTTTGGTATGAATTCTTTTATGTTTAGTACAGGCGGAGGACCAATAAAGCCTTTTCCACATTCTTCACATTTGTAGAATTTATCTCCAGTATGAATAATCTTAAGTTTAGTAAGGTATGACAATCAATAGAAACCTTTGTCACAGTCTTCACATTTGTAGGATTTCTCTCCAGCGTGAATTGCCTTATGTGTACAAGGGTGAGTATCAGTTAACAGCTTTGCCATTCTTCACATTTTACGATTTCTCGCCAGTGTGAATTCTCTTATGTATAGTAAGGTGTGAGTACCTGTTAAAAGCTTTGCCACATTCTTCACATTTGTAAGGTTTTTCTCCACTGTGAATTATTTTATGTCTAGTAAGTATTGAGAGTACCCTAAAGGCTTTGCCACATTCTTCACATTTGTAGGGTTTCTCTCCAGTATGAATACTCTTATGTGTAATAAGGTGTGAGTACTGTTTAAAATCTTTGCCACATTCTTCACATTTGTAGGGTTTTCTCTCACCATGAATTCTCTTATGTCTAGTAAGGATTGAGAGTACCCTAAAGGTTTTGCCACATTCTTCACATTTGTAGGGTTTCTCTCCAGTATGAATTACCTTGTGTGCAGTAAGTTTTGGGGACCGGTTAAAGGCTTTGCCACATTCTTCACATTTGTAGGGTTTCTCTCCAGTATGTATTATCTTATGATTAGTTAGGATTGAGAGTACCCTAAAGGCTTTGCCACAGTCGTCACATTTGTAGGGTTTTTCTCCAGTATGAATTCTTTTATGTGTAGTAAGGTGTGAGGATCTGTAAAAAGCTTTGCCACATTCTTCACATTTGTAGGATTTCTCTCGAGTATGAAATATCTTATGTGATGTAAGGTGTGAGGATAGGTAAAAAGCTTTGCCACATTCTTCGCATTTGTAGGGTTTCTCTCCAGTATGAATTACCTTATGATTAGTAAGGATTGAGAGTACCCTAAAGGCTTTGCCACATTCTCCACATTTGTAGGGTTTCTCTCCAGTATGAATACTCTTATGTGTAGTAAGGTGTGAGTGCTCTTTAAAATGTTTGCCACATTCTTGACATTTGTAGGGTTTTTCTCCACCATGAATTCTCTTATGTCTAGTAAGGTTTGATAATACACTAAAGGCTTTGCCACATTCTTCACATTTGTAGGGCTTCTCTCCAGTATGGATTCTCATGTGTCTAGTAAAGGTTGAGAACCAGTTAAAGACTTTACCACATTCTTCACATTGGTAAGAATTCTCCCTAGTATGAGTGCTTCTATGTTGACTTAGGTGTAAAAGCCTGCAAGACGATTTGTCACATTTTTTACATTTGAAAGGTTTCTTTCCAGTATATCTTATCTTATTTATGTTTGAATTTGAAAATTTATAAAAGATGTTCACATATTGATCACATTGAAATATTTCACTCTGGGTAGTTGTCAAACACTGGTTTAGTTCATTATAACCTTCTTTGTGCAGATTACACTCTTCCACACTTTTACATCCTGTTCTTAACTGTAAATCTTCATGTCCACATTTTCTATATCTTCTCAACATGACTTCTTGGAAAGAATCTTTTATGCCCTGCTCTGGCCAAAGGTCTTGGGCAAAACGAGAATATATAACTGAAAGAAATAAAAATAACAAATTGCTCCATTTACTAGACTCAGATGAATATGCTTTATAAATCTAACCCAGAAAATTATACAAACTACATATACAAAATGGCACAGCAAAATACCAAAGGTCCTAATTTTCTAGACATGTAACAAAAACATACAACAAAAATACATCTGAGGAAATGTATAAAAGAGTTAAGTGTGGGAAGTGCCCAGCTGAGCACAACAGAGAGTGACAGAGAAGAAAAAGAAAAGTCTGTTACATTCACCCAGCACAGCTCTTCCGGCTCCCCAATATAACATAGCGCCTTTCCAAGTAAACTGCCAACTTATGGTTTCTTTTTAAAAAGACAAGTAAAATACTGCACATACATCTTCATCTTTAGTACTTGCTTCTAAGGGCTTTTCTAGACACTGGTTTCTGGCTTTTCTGACATACAGTGCTGAAAGAAATGGTGGTATACTTTGGAATAATAACAAAGCTAAATGTTAAAACAGCAGAGAGGCTGCAGTGCCACACAAAAAACAGGTGTAGCACGTGATTACTGACTATTGTTAGGGAAACACCCAAATAGGCCAGGTGTGGTGGTTCATGTCTGTAATCCTAGCACTTTGGGAGGCCAAGGCTGGTGGATCACCTGAAGTCATGAGTTTTGAGACCACCCTGGCCAACATGGTGAAACTCCATGTCTACTGAAAAAAAAACAAAAAAAAAAACAAGCCAGGTGTGGTAGCACACACCTGTATTCCCAGCTACTTGGGAGGCTGAGGTGAGAGAACTGCTGGAACCCAGGAAGCAGAGGTTGCAGTGAGCCAAAATCATGCCACTGAACTTCAGTCTGGGAGGCAAAGTAAGACTTTGTCTCAAAAAAAAGACACAAAAAACTTTTTTAGCTAAAAAATAAACTCAAAATTGTAGACAAGACACATTCTAGGAAAACGAGAGACTTCCAGAATCTCTAAACAAGACAATTGTTAAACTATGCCACAACAAAGCTTTTTTTTAATGTCCAAATTTCAATCAAAGATTACAATGTATACAAAATAGGATAATATGGTTTTTGTTTGTTTGTTTTGAGACAGCGTTAAGCTCTTGTTACCCAGGCTGGAGCGTAATGGCGCGATCTCAGCTCACTGCAACCTCCGCCTTCTGGGTTCAAGCAATTCTCTTGCCTCAGTCTCCTGAGTAGCTGGGATTAGAGGCACGCGCCACCATGCCCAGCTAATTTTTGTATTTTTAGTAGAGATGGGGTTTCACCATATTGACCAGGATGGTCTTGATCTCTTGACCTTGTGATCCACCCACCTCGGCCTCCCAAAGTGCTGGGATTATAGGTGTGAACCACCGTGCCCAGTTCGATAATATGGTTTTATCAAAAATACTATAAAAGTTTCAGACACCATAAAAATGTACATTAATTTTAAAAATTGAAAATAAATACTATCCAGTGAGTAAAATAGAAACAGAACTACGGAAAGTTAGAAAAATGAGGATAAGAACAAAAATATGTAAAATATCTAAAAACAGAAATTACGAAGGTAAAAAATATCAAAAACAGTAACTGAAGCACCCTGAAAAAAGAAATGACAGAAAAATGAAGCTCAAAAAACAAACTAGGATATTTATAGCAAACATATATAAGCACAATTTCAAAAGTCACAGACAAAAAGATAATCTTGGAAACTGCAAGATAAAAGTGATGTGTCATTGGCAAGCATAATCTTATGATATAGCCAGTAAACTGTCAACAAAAATTTTGCAGGCCAGAAGAGTACTGTCTGATATAGTAAAAACCCTTAAATACATATGTGGCTATCAAGTGAGTATAATACCATCAGCAAATTTGTCCTGCTAAATAAATTTTTAGAAACCTTCGAAACTAACCAAATTCTGAAAAAGTGTATTGGCACTGCCTTACATATAAAAGTTGCTGAAAGCAGTTGCTTCCAATGAAAATAGTGTGATTGAACAAAACAACACATAATCATATCAAAACACATTTTCTGGAAAAGAAATACAGAAACACAAAAATTGATTTTTAAAGCATAATGGTACAGAAAACATTTTTAATTCTCTAAAATTTGAAAGTTAAAAGCGTAGAAATCATTATAAACGTGTTAATGAATATACAACCTAAAAAGATATCATTTGAAACATCAATGACAAATTTGAGAGCAGATGAGAAAAAATTTTTGCATGCAACTAAAGTGTTTTTTCTTTTTTCTTTTACCAGACTGAAATATGTTACATCTCTTGGAGGTTTTATGTAATCCCCATGGTAGCACAAAGAACACAGTTGCATAGCAACACCAAACAAGAAAGAAGTAAAAGCATATCAACATACAAATAAAAAAGACACAAATTAAGAGAGAAAATGAGAAACAAAGCTACAAGAATGAAATAATAAAATAACAATAAGTCTTTCTGTTTCAGAGTTTATATATTTTGGCTCACTGCAACTTCTGCTGCCCGAATTCAAGCGATTCTCCTGCCTCAGCGTCCAGAGTAGCTGGGATTACAGATGTGCACCACCACACCCAGCTAAGTTTTTTATTTTTGGTAAAAATAGGGTTTCACTATGTTGGCCAGGATGGTCTCAATCTCTTGACCTCATGATCCACCTGCCTTGGCTTCTCAAAATGCTGGGATTACAGGTATGAGCTACTGCACCCGGCCAAAAAAAGAAGTCTTAACAAATTTTTTAAAACTGAAATGAATTAAATTCTATGACCAAAATGAAATGAGTAAAAAGCAATAGACAAAAACTAAAAAATTTACAGCTATATAGAAATTAGACAACACTCTTCAGCATACTTATTTTCAAAGCTTGAAATAATACTTTGAAAATGTCCAGGCCGAGCGCGGTGGCTCATGCCTGTAATCCTAGCACTTTGGGAGGCCGAGGTGGGTGGATCACGAGGTCAAGAGAGCAATACCATCCTGGTCAACATGGTGAAACCCCCTCTCTACTAAAAATACAAAAATTAGCTGGGCATGGTGGCTCGTGCCTGTAGTCCCAGCTACTGGAGAGGCTGAGGCAGGAGAATTGCCTGAACCCAGGAGGCGGAGGTTGTGGTGAGCTGAGATCGTGCCATTGCACTCCAGCTTGGGTAACAAAAGCAAAACTCCGTCTCAAAAAAAGAAAGAAAGAAAATGTCCATACTGCTCAATGTAATCTAGAGATTTAATGCAATTTTTTTTAAGAATCTCTCATTTCATGTTTGAGGAAATAGAAACCGCAACCACAAAAGTATATAAAATCTCCAGAGACAATAAAGTAACCAAGGTCTTCAAAATAAAAGGAACAATGTTGAAGTCATTAGAGACCTGATATCAAAATACATTACAAAATTACAGAATAAAAACAATTTAGTATGACTATAATGGTTTAAAATAAACTTAAAAAACAATGCAGCATGTAAACTTTTACATATATGATTATATGAAGTTATTTGCATACTTATTATTATTGCAGCATTGTTACTGAAAGCCAATAGGTAAAAGCAATGGTAAAGTCCCAGCTACTCAGGAGGCTGAGGCACGAGAATTGCTTGAATCCAGGAAGCGGAGGTTGCAGTGAGCTAAGATCACACCGCTACACTCTAACCTGGGTGACAGAGAGAGACTATCTCCCAAACAAAAAAGAAGAAAGAAAGAAAACATATTACAAAGCTACAGAGTTAAAACAATTTGGGGGCATAGCACAGTGGCTCATGCCTGTAATCCCAGCACTTTGGGAGGTCGAGGCAGGAGGATCACGCTGAAATCAGGAATTTGAAACCAGTCTGGTCAAAATGGTGAAACCCCCCCTCTACTAAATATACATGGTGGCAGAAGCCTATAATCCCAGCTACTCAGGAGGCAGGAGAATCGCTTGAACCCATAAGATGGAGGTTGTAGTTGGCTGCAATAATGCCATTCCACTCCAGCCTGGGCAACAAAACTTCATCTCAAAGGAAAAAAAATAAAATAAAATAAAAGGAAGAATAAAACCCCATAAAATTTAACAGCACCTTGAAAAATGGACTGAAAAACCACACAACTCAGTAGGAGTATAATCATTATAAAAGAAACCAATAAAAGAGGCAGCACATATATATATAAACTTCATAGTCATATAAAGAATTATTTGCATACCCATAATTATTGCAGCATTATTACTGAAAGCCAATAGGTAAAAGCAATTCAAAGTTGTGTCACAGAATTATTCAGTAGATACAATCTGAACTATAAAAATACTGTTGGGTGGGCGTGGTGGCTCAATGCCTGTAATACCAGCACTTTGGGAGGCCGAGGTGGGCAAATCATGAGGTCAAGAGATTGAGACCATCCTGGCCACCATGATGAAACCCCATCTCTACAAAAAAACACAAAAATTAGCTGGGCGTGGTGGCACATGACTATAGTTCCAGCTACTCAAGAGGCTGAGACAGGAGAATTGCTTCAGCTTAGTAGGTGGAGGTTGCAGTGAGCTGAGATTGTACCACTAAACTCCAGCCTGGAGACAGAGTGAGACTCCATCTGAACAAATACTGGATTATCAACACAGAATTTTATAAGCAGGAAATATTCTAACAACTATAGAGATAAATTTTGACATTATGCAAAATGAAATGAGTCAGCCATAAAAATTCAGGTATTGCATGAAATAGATGAAGCAGTTACACTCTTAGAAAAAGAAGACAGTGGTGTTTGGAAAATTCCAGAAAATCAGAAAAATTGTTTTTTAATGTGTATTGAGATTAGGTTTGCAAGATGAAAACATTGTAGAGATTGTTGCATGACATTGTGAATATAATATGATGAAACAGAATATTTAAAAATGTTTGACAACAAATTTTGTTATGTGTTTTTGACAAGTAAAAATAATACCAAAAAATATTCAGAGTTATGACAGTTTTAATATTATCTTCAAATTTCAAAGTGTTTCTTTCACACAAAAATAATAGATTCATATTAGACATTGAAATTAGGAGAATTTTTATGGCTGCTCACCTAGACAAGA